TGTCTTCGAAGGTTCCAGCAGAAGCGTACATGAAGGCTTCAAGCAGCGTTCTACAGGTCCAAACTTCTCTCTGAACTGAGCCATCTTTTGACATATTTTATTTCTCGAGCACCTAGGGATCCACTCGGCTTGCATGCGTTGAAGCTAGTATCTGTGCTGTATTCAGGAGGTGACTCGTTCAGCAGCCATCGTGTCCCGTTGTCCCTAAGGCTTTGCATCCGGAGATATTTGACTCAAAGTGAAGCACTGCCTGGTCGGCTGTAGGTGGTGAATGGTGAGCATTTGCTCAACTTCCCAGAGGCGCAGTTGCTACCAGTCGTGAGTTAGCAACAACGCTGAGGTACACTAACTGACAGTTATTGAGAATATCTGCCTTCAGCAGCATGATCGCAAAGGGTACCACATGGTTGCGCCAGTCTGGGGAGGCGAAGTGTGTGACCATGGTAGAGATTTCTCTTCTTCTTCGCATCAAAGGAATCTCTTGACAAAAATGAAGATTAAGGAAGATAGCTCAAGCTTTGAGGAAACTGTACTCATAAGCTATATTGGATTCGACTAAGTAGAGCCGCCTGCAGTTAATTTCCACATAAAGTTGCTGGATTCCTGCACCGCGATGATGACCGTTGCCGGCTCTAACTACCTTTGAAATTTGGCCTAAGCCATGCGTGAATTTCACTCAGAAACATTGTGTGGCCCCGCCCCGCGCATATGTGACAAAGGATTACATATCAAAAGATCATGGATTTTGATTTGGAAATTTCGCAGTACTTGGCTTACTAGTCGGGCTAAGCCGCTTCTAACTATAGGATAATTAGTGCCCTGAAGCGTCATCTAGAAGATAAAAAGTCTGATGACTGAGGTCAACTCGAAAATGCTATCGAAAGCAAACGCCGGAATCCTAAAGTAAGAGAGTTGAGAAGTGCCCGCGAAAAGTGTACGTCTCCTATATGGTAATGGTGATAATTTGCTGATTGAATATTTCATTCAACAAAAGAAGGTGCAATCAAAAATCTTGGACAAAGTGTCGCAGGATTTTCTGGACAACCCAATAGATAAGGAAGTTGAAGTGAATACAAACCTACTCACAGCGAATTTGTAAAATTTGTTTCCCTATCGCTACAACACGTCTTTCAGTCGAAAGTCTTCTACTTTTCTCTCGAGATTACCTTACCGGCTTGTACATTGTTGAATTATTTTTGATATTTGATCCAGGTGCTTTCAATTTCCCAGTCAAAACCCACGTATGTGAGGTGAAGTACTCAGTGGTGCTCGATGAATTTTGACTAAGAAAACTTTACAAGCGCACAGCTCCAACGCAGCCAAAGAGGTCAAAATGCGCGATGTCATCATTAATTAATCAACAGTAATCAACTACTCTACCTGCAATATGTCTTAATCTGAAGGTCAGATGGGGCCGAAAGGAAAATCATACCGCGCGTTCGTGGTGCTTTGGCTCTGGGGAAGGATCCTAAGTGGAAGAACTTTGTGCGAGATCCGGTTCCCTCAAGACTAAAACCAAGTGAATAAAAACCATTTTCTTATTATTTTCTTTGTTTGTGTCGGGGTTGGCATTTCGTCCGATTTGTGTTTTGCCTTTTGGCCGATTTCTCGCTATGTGCGCTTTGGATCTAATGTAGGTGCTGCGTGTTGCCTACACCTGAGGATGCCGGTATTTCCCACTGTAATCCCCCTATCATTGGCACCAGCCTATGACGCTGTAGTATTCCGAACAGAATGACGGTTTGTCCACCTTTGGTTGGATGGGCACCAAGGGAATCCCTTTTGCGTCTAATGATGTTATTGTCGATGATCTCACAATCGAGAATAGCAAATTAAGGAGGGGGTCCCTTGTTTTGCAAATTTAGCATCAACTGTTTCCGTAGGGTTACCTTTATCGTTCTTGATGTGAGATTTTACACTAGGACATTTTGACGAAAGCTGACAACATAACCCCGGGATAAGCTTGTGTTTGGTTTCTCGCTATTGCTTTGCCATCTTTGCTAAATACTTCACGGTATTTCACTTATAACATATCATGGAAATTGTTATTCTTGCTGATAGCTAATTTTGCTGATGCGTGCTTCCACGCACCCGGAGAACCACTTTACCGTCATGGGATAAACTTATTGTGGCGCACTTAGGAAAAATCATAAGAAAGTTCCAGGAATTTCAGCGGTTGCGAAATTTCCGTTCGCCTGTTTTTCTTTGGTATTTTCCCTGTTCACTGTTGTGAATGAACTGTAAATCGACAAGCTCGTTTCTGAACTTTTCACGATTATTGTAATTCTTTTCTTCCCATCCACTGATTTTTGAACTATTCGTCTGAATAAACGCAACCTGGAACGAATTTACAATAGTTCAGGCAACTTTTCACTTTCAAAAATAAGCTCGGTTTTCTTGGACTATTTCAAACATGCTATCTCAGTAGCTACATACTTAAAATGAGCGTTTCTTTTCAGGTGAAGCACATTTTTGTTGGTGCGGCGTGCAATTGCAAGGCGCGGGTACGTTACCGAATTTGCTCGATCTTCGCCACTCTCAC